AGACCTCATACAGTCTCATGATACTAACGTTATCAATCGGTAATGGATACCTGACAGGATACAGAGCCGTTGCTATTCATTACTTGAAACCTGACACAGCTATACCCACCAAAGGTTCGTTTCTGCATGCCAGCTTGTAGGTTTTGGGCTGGTAAATAACAATTTATGAGGTCACGCAGGAATTGGAATCCCGTATCCCGCTCTTTTCCCCTTACGAATTCCGCATCCCAACACCATAAAAACATGAAATCCCGCTCCCACTCGTAATTGTAATTCCCGCATCCCGCCCCTGTTTTCAGCTCAAATCCCAAATATCACGGCGAAAAAAAGCCAAATCCCGCATCCCGCCAAACCTATTGGGGACCCTCATTTCCGCGTCCTCATAACAGAAGGTAAATGCATCCCTTTGAATAACATAAACGACTGTGAAATCCATATTCTCAGCTCAAAACATATTATCTTAATAGTACGTTCAGAGCTAAGATGATTGACGACTGCAGGGGTTAGATGGGATGGAGTCCATGAGGTCCTCTCTCACACCATTTAATTTAGCTCCTGCAAGAATTTGCTACGCATTTTCGCATTTTACAAGTCTGTCAAGTTACAAGGAAGTGTGTCTATTCAGAGAGGAACACGAATTAGTAACACGCTCCGCAAATGTATGACCCAAAAAGTTCAGGACCGTTCAGGAAGAATGGGTGTGTACGAAATTGGCGAATGACACTTTGAAAAGCCTGGGCCTCGAAAACGACTTACCATTCGTCACCCCCATTCTATCATCATTCTATCATAAAGCCTATGACGTCAAGCAGAGAGCTCTGCTCGCAAGCTAAAAATGTTTTTAATACATTTTTCAAAAGAGATCTAAATTGTTGGATGATTCATTGGCCTCACTAAAAGGGCTAAATTTTAAGGTATTTCAGTCCAGATAAAAATTTCAGACAGAAATTTGGACCTGGGCTGTGTGGGGGCTAACGAGAATCCATCGCCGCCCCTTCCCTTGGGATTTAAGATATGAGTGTTGACAATATCATCCTTTATTTTTTTTAAAAAATATTTCTTGTTTTCCTTGGTTAGAAGTATGGTGT